TTGACTGATAGTGATATTTTAACATTAAAAGAATTAAATAAAATTGCCAATGTAAATAAAATTAATATTGATGAAAATAAATAATATAGAATAAATTATTGATTTTATAAATTAAAAATTAAAACTTAACTTCTTTATAAATTTTTAAATGAAATTTTATCAGATAATGAAAGTTTTGATGATAAATGTTCTGAAAATAATATGAATATTTAATAATCTATTATATATAAGCATCAACTTTAAAATATAACTAATCACTAAAAATTATCTTCATCAAAAATAATAATTTCAAAAATTTAAGGAGTTATCTATAATTCTTTTTAACATTATTAGCATAATTCAGAAGATATTAGATTAGTTGCTACTTTACTAGATTTTAATTAAAATTAATAAAAGTATAATCAGATAAAATTTAATTGAAATAATTAATAAGTTGTATACTGAATTTAAGATTTAGCAAAATGTAATTATAGCTGATGGATTATTAAATTATGTTAAAACAAATTCTTTATTAATACTTTCTTTTATGAAAAAAATATTTAGTTATAATCAAAGTCAAGTAAATAATAAAATAGAAATTGATAATTATTTAAATAAAATAATTATGCTAATATTACTTGAAACTACTGATATTTATCATTGATGGTGTATTAATCAACATTCTTTTTCTGTTTTAAGTAAAATAACATATAAGTATTTATTAATTCCTGCTACCTCTATTCTAGTAAATGGCTTTTCTCTGATGTAGAAAATCTAATTATTTTACAAAAAATTTGTTTAGTATCTGAAATAATAAGTTAGTTATTATATATCAAAAAAAAATAGTTTTTATAAGATTTGGACTTGATAAAGTATATTAAATTTTATTTAAATAAATAAAAAAGATTTTTATAATAAATTTAATAATACAATATTTTTTATATTTAAATTATTTGATAATAAATAAAATCTTTATTCAGGTATAACTTACTAATTATTTAGGTTTTATTTTTTGTAACAGGTCTAATTTCTTATTTAAATTCTAAATTTTCACTTAATTCTAAAAATAATTTTTCTTTAAATAAAAAATTTAACTATTTCTTCTAATATTATCAATAAAATAATCAACATATTTTATAAGATATTTTTTTAATGCTTTATAATATTTAATAATAAAACTATCTAAAATAATTACTTAGTTATTTCTTTGTAGGCATGCTATAGATATAACATTATAATTATATTGAAGTTAAAATAAAATTTAAAATATATTAAATAACTTATATTCTAAAAGAAATAAGTAAGCTAGTATTTCATATAGATTTAGATCAATCTAAATCTAATCTAAATTTTATAGATTAGATTTTATTAGATTCATATCTAATCTATCTAATTTAGATTTAGATTTAGATTTAGATTTGATCCATTAGGTTCTGATTTAAATTTAAATTATTTAAAAATGAAAAGATTCCTTTTATTGAAAGAAATAAATTTTTAGACTTCTTTTAGATTAAAAGATTTCTTTCATTAAAAAGAAATGAATTTTCAAATATTTTTTAAAACTAAAAATTTGTTTACCTTTATTAAAAGAAAATGAATTTTTAGATACTTTTAAAGTTAAAAGATTTCTTTCAATAAAAAAAATAAATTTTCAGACTTCTTTTAAAATTAAAAATTTATTTTCTTTCATTAAAAAAAATGAATTTTTAAACCTCTTTTAAAATTAAAAAGATTCTTTTTATTGAAAAGAAATAAATTTTCAGATATTTTTAAAGTCAAAAAAATTTTTTTCATTAAAAAGAAATAAATTTTCAAATTTCTTTTAAAGTTAAAAAGTTTCTTTCATTAAAAAGAATAAATTTTTTAATTTTTTTTAGAACTAAAAAGGTTCTATTCATTAAAAAAAATGAATTTTCAGATTTTTTAAAAATTGAAAAAATTCTTTTTATTGAAAAAGAAAGACTTTCAAATACTTTTAGAATTGAAAAGATTTCTTTTATTAAAAAAAATTTTTAAATTTCTTTTAAAACTGAAAAATCATTTTTTAATAAAATTTTTAAATCTGAATTAGATCAAATTTAGATTTAAATTAATCTATTAGTTCAGATCACATTTGAATTTTAATAGATCAATTAAATTCAAATCAGATTTAAATTTTGAAAAATAAAGATTAGATCAAAATATATTTGAATAAATCTGATCTAACCTAATTTACAAAATGCTACAGTAAATTCATTCAATATAATGAATTTTTTTAAAAATCTTTTTTTAGCCTGTTGACTTTGAGATAAATTTATAAAATTTATATACTAAAATAAGTTTTCTATTAACTAATTCTATCATATAATTTAAATCTTTTTTTATTAATAAATATCAGATGTATTTTCTTTGTTAATCTAAAAATTATTAACCTATGAATTATTAATTTAAATATTATTAATTTGCGAATTATTATCTGCAGATTTTTAATTTAAGAAAATTATTAATCTAGAAATTATAGATTTTGATATTAATATTATAATCAAGCTTATTGAGATTATTGTAAATATCAAAAGAATTACAATTATTATTATAATAAAGTTATCATTATTTTTGTTATTGTAATAGTTTTCAAAATTATTATTATAATTTTTATTACCAATGATCAATTAATAAACTTATTATAAACTATTTTGGTATTAGCATTAGATATTTTTTTGAAGTAGTAGAATTAGCAATAATCTTTTTTGTAGTAATAATATTAATAGATATTAACTTGACTAATTCAGTTAATTGGATATAGTTTTTCTTTTGTATACTACCAGTTATATTTGCCAAAATAAAACTTTTATTTAATGATTTTGATCTTTTAAATAAAATTAAAAATATTACTAAATTTAAGAATATATACATAAACTAAAATATTACTTATGTGTTAATATTTGAAAGAATTTATTCTCAGTAATTTGTAAAATTCTAAATTGTAATTATACTTTTTTAATTAATAATTCATTAATTAGAATGTTTTTTTTGTTTTTATTATTATATATAATTGATAAGTTAGAGAAAAATTAAAGAATTGTTAAAAAAAAATTTTAATTTTTAAAATAAGTAAAAAAAGAAAAAGAATCATTTGAAATAAGTAAAAAAAAAAATTAAAGAAAAAGTTTTTATCAAAAGTATATGAATTAAATCAAATTAAAAATTAAAAAAAAAAATTTATAGTTTAAATATTGTAATATTTATTAAAATATTTATATAAATGATTTTAAAGATAGCTTTTTAGCATGATATAATTATTGATATAATTAATTAATTAATTAATTAATTAAAATATCAATTTATATGATATCAGTAAAATATCATAATTAAATTTTTAAATAAATCATTACTTCATTTAACTTTATAACTATTATAGAAAAAAATAACTATGATAAAATATTATTATAGAATTTGTAGTAAAAAATTTTCAATAGCTAATAGACTAAGACAACATAAAAGGCTAATATAATATTACTTTCTCTAAGATCTTATACATGATCACAAAGATTAGAGTAAAGATCAAAAGAATATACATTAATTTAAATATAACTAATTATTATAATTTAAACCATTAAATTATATAAATTGTATAGTATTATTAAAATAATTGATTTTTATTATTATTAAACTAATAGTTTTACTCAAGATAATATTTTAGAGATTCACTAATATAACGTGAAATAATTATTAAAAACTTAATTTTTAAAGTTTTAATATATATATGTTATATATCAGATATTGATTTGAGTTAAATGACAGTTAACATACGTTAGATGACTAATACTGACCAAATCTTAAGGCATTATAAAATCAGCCCAAAATAGCTTATAATTTAAATCAGTTAGCATCTGATGTAAAATTATAGTTAATGCATAATAAAGTTCAGTTAACTCTTGTTATAACAAACTCTATATCCTAGATCTCAACTTCGCTATAAGGCTATAGTAAAGATTTAAAAGATTTGATTAGCAAATTTGCTATAATAAGAATATTTTTATTATATTTATACAAAAAATTCATTATATCAAGAATTCGTTGTATTAAGAGTTGACTGTAATATAAGTTATTAATAAAAATTATTTGCAACTCTATGTAAATTTAAAATATTCATTCCTAATTCTAACATTAACTTTTAATTATATATTGTTATTTATTTTTAATTTTAATATAAATTTATATTAATTAATTTTTATTATAATTAAATTTTTAAAATCAAAATATTTTTTATTTTTAATTATTTTTTTTTAAATGTAATTTATTTATTTTTTTCAGATATATATTTTTTTTGATTCTAAATCTTTTTTAATTTTAATATTCATAATTTTTTTAATTAATTATTTTAGTTTTTAATTTTCTTATATTTTTAATCCTTACGAATTGTTTTAATATAATTTAATTTAATTTTAATATTTACTATATCACAAATTTTATAATCAATCAATTAAATCAAATCTTAAAATTGAATCTTAAAAAATAATAATCATGATTAAATCAATTATTAAATTAATTTTAAATATTTAAATTGATTTTAATTTCTACTATTAACAACTGTAGTATTCTCATCATTTAAAATTACTACATGAAAAATATGCAGAAGTAGGCATTGTAGGCACATTAACATTCTCTTTGCTTTTGTAAGTCATTTCTATAAATTCATTAGAAACTTATTATAAAGATCATCATCTCTAATATATGATTTAATTGAAAGAATCCTGATAGATATTGGAGAGTTGAAGAGATGGGAATGTTATAAGAACAGAGGCTTTTATCTCTATATTCAAAACCTCTTTAAATCCAATTATTTTGCAATTTAACACTTTAAAGATTTTTGAAATTGAATTGGAGACAAAAATTAACATTTCGAAAATATAATTACAAAGTAACAATTCAATATTTAAAAAATTAAAAGTAGATCAATTAAAAAAAAAGAAAATTATTATAATATATTCTATTTCATTATGTATACCTTAAATTTATCACTTAAAATTTGTTACAATTAGATGTATCTACCCAGAAATTTTTTTTTAAATTTATCTATTTATGTTATCACAAAAACCATATCTAATGTAATGAGTTCCTATATTAGTATTTTTATAACTGTTAATCTTCTGACAGTTGAAAAAGTAAAAGTTAAGAGTCAAGATGACATTAAAGATTTTTTAAATGTGAGAAAAGAACTAGATCTTGAAGATAAAGATATCAATAAACTATATGATCAGAGGGTTATGAATAATATATTCCTTACACTAAAATATAAAATGCTTGTAAATCCACTTTTGAGCATTCCAGTTAGATCAGCCATAAAATTATTAGAGTTTATTAATAAAATTCAAGGAAATAAGCGAACTTCATTTTCACACACACTGTATCATATTTGCAAATAATACTGAATACTTGCTTATTCTTATGCTTTTCTTTCTGCTTCTATTATTAAATTCACATTTACATTATCATAGAGCAATCTATTGCTAATAAGTATGTCATAATATATTTATTTAACTTGAGTAAATGTGTCCTAGCTTGATAAACATTTTTTATTCTCTGACATTCCAAGCTATTATGAAGAATTTCACAGATGACTTTAGAAAATTGATATGTTTATTAATGTAATGAATTTGCAATTTCAATATGTTATATTCACATTGTTTTTTTAAAGTATATCTGATAGCTCTGCCAATTTATTTATAAACATTCTGAATGCTATAAATAAAAACTCAGAAATTCTAAAAAGAACCTCAGCAGTTATAAAAAAAATCTTAGCAGTTCTGAATAAAAATTTGGAATTTATAAATAAAGCCTCAGAATTATTGATTCGACTTGATAGAAATAATAATAGGCTTATACCTGTTCAGAATTATATAAATGCTTATTTCAAATACAAACTTTTAACAATTCTATTTCTATTGATTTCATATTTTTGAATACTTCAGATTCCATAGAATATGCAAGAGTTTATCAGAATATCTTATTTAGAAAGTTAATCAGAAATACTTCTTTTGTAATACCAGCTTTATACTTGGTGAATTCTTCAGATATAAATCAGTTACTAACTATCAAAAAAATAATCCTGTACTAACTGATACAGAGAAAAAAGTTTAGTCTTGATTTAATAGCCTGATGGATATCCTTCCAGCCTTTAAAAAGAAGCTTTGGTAATAAATACATATAAAAGGATATATCTTGATAGATATTTACTAGATTTTAGCATATTTCTTAAAGAAGATGCTATTGATGATGCCTATATCTCTACATTAGTATAAATAATTCTTAAAATAAAAAAGAAAAAGTTTGAGTAGTTTGGCTAATAAAGACAAGGGACAATTATTAGATTATATAAATATTCTTATTCAGCAATAACCATTATAAAAACTTTTTACATTATTCCTATCAGATGGATTTTATTTTTACATAATGACTTTTGATAGGAAAGTTAATCAATACAAAAAGTTTACAATTGCTTTATTAGTGGCTTATATCTTTTTTGAGTATTATTTAATAATAGATCACTTTTACAAAGATATCCAATCCTAAGAGTATCAATTTTCATAATACATCAACTTCAAGTATTACAAGAATATGTCTAAAAAAATATTTAGATGCAAATTTATCATCAATAGTATATATGATTGAAATTAATGATAATCAATCTACTATAAAGATATTTAAGAACAGCTTTTACCTAAATAATGAGATGAATATTCTAAAAGACTTGAATAAAAAAGAAATTTAAAATATTTTGATATATATTGCATTAATCAAAAATCATTGATTATTATTCCAATTGGTAAACAAATCAGCTATTAATTTTGGCAACATTATACTTTACAGCTCTTTAACCTTTTAAGATATATTTATAATAAAGAAGTTTTCCATCAGGATGTACGTCTATCTAATATATTATTAGATATTAACGATAATATTATACTTGCTGATTGGGTTTAGCAATTTGCAAACCTTCTAATAAACTAGTACCTTATGAAAAAAACAATTTATTTACTTTATCTGATATTTTAAATAACAATTTTAGATCATATTATCCTAAAGCATCTGATGACTTGCATTCTTTTGTACATATTATATATATACTATTTATCTTACATAATCAAAAAAATTTGCTGAACCTTCTTAATAGAGAGTTTGTTATGAAATACTGGAATGATAAACTTGATGGTGAGTTGTGAGCGAAAATAGTAGATAGGGTAAGTAATTAAAACTACAATGTATTGAAAAAATATTATTATGTTTTCAATTAATAATAAAATATAGCTGATATTTTAAGTAAAATATTAATTTAGAGTTAGATATATAGTATTTCAGTAATAATTAATGTAATTGAAAATATTAGATATTACATCATGTATAAAAAATTAAAATAAAGCATATTTAATAAATAATTATTAAATTGGATAATATTATTATAAAAAATTTTTAGTTAATTGTTAAATTAGGTATAAGTAAATTGTTATTATATAAAATGGATAACAGATCCTATGTTCATTTTTGAAGTTGTTACTATAATAGATAATGATTATTTATATTTTTTAAGGGTATTATATATAAATATTATGTAAAAATCAAAAAAAAAACTATAATAAAAAAAATTTTTTATTTAAAAATGCAAGCTAAAGTTCTAAAAAGCTTTTTCCTATAAATTTTTTTTTATCTGAAAATAGTGAATATGATTTTGATGAAACTTTTGATTTATTTAAATATTGATTTAGTTAAAATTTTAGATAAGCAAAATAGAATAATAACAGAAGAAATAGAAATAATAAATAATATTATATCAGATAATAATAATAATATAAATTATGATAATATAGATAATTTATCAAAAAGAAAGAGAAAATGTAGAAAGAAATTTTTTTACAAAAAGATATAGATGAGTTATGAAATAAATTATATTAAATAAATATCTTATGAAAAAAATAATACCAAGATTAATTCATTGTAAATGTGATAAAAAATCCAGTTAGATTAAGATTTTAAAAATAAAAATCTTATAATACATGATGAATTAAACAATTATAAATATAGTATAGAAGAATAACAAAATATTAAAGTATTTTAAACCTAAAAAATTAGGAATGAAAAGAAAAATATAAGTATTAAAAAAGTTGTATATAAAGGAATTATATAAAAAAAGTATTAAAAAAATTTACTTAATAATTCTGCTAAATTTGAAGGATTAATTAAATTTGTTATAGTACAAAAGAATTATTTCCTGAAACTGTTAAGAAAACTTAGGTTAAAAGATCTTGATATATTAAAATATAATGATCTTAAAAATTATTTATATGTATATATTATGTAAATATTAGATAAATCTATCATATTTATTAGAAGTAAAGTATGTAAAAATTTTATAACTAAAGAATTGGGTATTTATGATAAATATGATACTAAGAAAAAATAACTGTTTAAGTCAAGCAATTAATAAAATATGCATTTAACTATATTGCATTTATAAAAACTGAACATCTAAATTTGAACTTATAGTAATAGTATACATGAAGTTAAAATTAAAATCTAAAAGTCAAAATATTTTAACTTGAAAGTTATAGTTGAAATTAAAAGTCAAAATTAATTACAATGATTTAAATCAATTATGATGGTCAAAATACTTTATAATAGTTAAAAGTTAAAAAATACTTTTAAAATATCAATAAAATAATTATAATGTTATATTATAATTAAAAAAAATATTATTATTATTACTATTATTACTATTATTATTACTATTATTATTATTATTAAAATTTGTATTTATTAATATATTAATATCAAAATTATTATGATCATGATCAAAATTTACTGGTTTTTCAATAACTACTCTTATATTTATTTCTAATGTTCTTTGAAATTCTTGATTATTAGAATCAAAATAATTTTTCATAATTATTTTATTATTTATTTCTGGTATTTCTTTTTCATTTTCATCAAGATCATTATCATCATTATCATCATCAATATTATTATTATTAAATTCTTCTTGTTATTCTTCAATTTTCTTATCAGAAAATTCTGTAATATTTAAATTTTTATTAATTGCTTGAAAAAGTTATTCTTCAATAAAATCTAAATTAATATAATTAATTTCTGTTTTTGCATTTATTACATAATAAGTATATAACTTAACTATTGCTTCCATTCTTTCAATATTTAAATTATAGTTAAATATAAAAATTATTAATATAAAATCATATAATTAAAATAAAAATAAAAATAAAATAAAAAATTACTTTATTCAACATTATAAACACATCTATTCTAAAACTAAAAAGATTCTTTCATAACTGACATTATGTGATATTATAAAAAAAAATTTTTAATGTTAATTTTTGAATAAAATTATCATTTTATTCTATAATTTTCTATTAAGTTTCTATACTATAAAATTCTGATATATATAAAATTTATAAGGTTTTATTTGACTTTTATAAGCTATAAGTTGATTTATTAAATAATTAAATAAATTTTTCTCATTACCTATAGAAATCCAAAATTTGATAACTAAATAGCAAAATTTTTTAAAAACTTCTTGTTTAAATCCTTTTCTTAAATAATAATAATAATAATAATATTATTATTATTATTATATATATATATATATATATATTAAAAATTATAAATATACCTCGATATAATAAATGTAAAAGATAATCTAATAAATAAATATCAAAATCAAATTGTCTCCAACATTTATTAAATTTTTTCAAACAAAATAATTGAAATAAAGGTTTGTTATAGTTGAATAAATTTGAAAGTTATTTCAAGTTTCATTAATTGAAGAAAATAATCCATTAAAATAGTACTTTTATATTCTAAAGTGATAATTACTTCTTTAATAGATTTGAGAATTTTAATTAACTCGTCAACATCTTAAAAAAATATTTAATTTTGTAATAAGGCTTTAATTTTATTATTAAGGATTTTTGAATGTTGATTAAAAACCTATGTTATAAAAAACAAATATTTTATTAATTAATATTATATATTTTTTACATATAATAAAAAATAATATAATTTTTTTTCTTACATTATATAAGAAACTTTCATATTATTTAATTGAAGCTATATAATAAAATGCAGTTGTCTATCTTATTTTTATATAATCTTTTAATTTACTACCTTCAATTAAAGTATTCTTTAAAATCTCAGATAAATAAGCTTTAGTTCTATAAGATTTTCTAAAATATTTGACAATTTTCATATAATTTATAATTATATTTTTTAAATATTTATGTCTCATAATATTAGTTATAAGAAGATTGATATGATGAGCAATATAACAAACAGAAATAATATAATTATATTTTTCATTTACAATTTTTTTTGCAAAAACCATTATTGCAACATTATCAGAAATGATTAAGAAAATCTT